TATATATATATATATATATATATATATACACACACACACACACACACACATATATATATATATATATAATGTATATTTAGGCCGCATATTTTCATTCAAATAGGTTTGGTTAAATAATTTAAACATGTAAAATACTTGTGAAAATAAAAACTCTTTGAAAGAAAATTTTGGTATTTTTCTTAATCAATTTTCTAAGGCTACCAAGAAATTAATCCGCAAACTTCAAAGGATCACAATGAAAACTAATCAACATGACATGTCTAAATTATTTAACCAAACCTGTTTAAATATATATATATATATATATATATATATATATATATATATATATATATATGTGTGTGTGTGTGTGTGTTTGGTCACATTTTAAGGAAAGTATTGGGCCAAGAATCCCTCAACTCTTCTCATATAAATATCATAGACAATTTTACTAATAGTTTCTTTTATGTGAGAGACAAACATATTTACAAAGCTAAACTCAGCAAAGCATTCAATGAGAATTTAACTTGCTTATATTATAGGATGGTGTATGAAATTAGCCTGATGATCATTACCCTAATGCTGGTATTTTTATCTGTGTGTGTGAAAAGAGAACAAATAATATACATAAGGTTTTTGTTTTATATTTCAACCGTTTTTGCTGTGCCAAGTGTTATGTAGTTTTTTTTTTTTATATTTTTATTCTTGTATCTCCATATTATTGTATATTTATTTTTATTGTTAAAGTAATAAACATTCTTTTTATCTATAAGAAAAAATATAATTAATTTAAAATATTCTGCCAAGAAAATGTCATATACATGTTATTGCTTTATTTCAATTGAATGCTGATATTTTTGTCTGTCATTACATGCAATATTCTGACTAGTATCCTCACAGTTATTATTTTTTATCAGACTATTTCAGTCGATGCATTTTTTCAGCCTTCTACATCTATACAGATCATCTAGCTGTTTGTGTGTTTGTTTGTTTTTTTTGTCACTCAAATATAAAAAAGGGAAAACTCTCATAAAATAAACACCTTGTTTTTAAAAGACGATGTTGAAAATACTTGGCCAATCTAGAAGCCCTTTCCAAAAGATTCTGATCAAATGAACTAACTGCATAATTTGTGTTGGGGAAAGGCTTCTTGGTTGGGCTGTGAACTTTTCAGCAACTTCATGTATGCATGTATTTTGTTAAACAATGTATTTTTGTTAAGTCTTTTTTTTTATGCAAGTGTTTAAAAATAATGAAAAATCATTAGAAAAAAAAAAAAAAAAGAAAAAGAACAACCCATAATAAAAAATTATAAATACAGCCACAATATCCTGGGCTGTATTTAGAAATTAAGAGTACAATTTCACCAATTTTTAGACTACTATTTATTTTAGTAAAAAATGTCAATCACTATCTACTGTCCTCATGGATTGTTCTTTTCTCTTTCTACTTATTACTAATGTTTCTGTCCCTAATTCCTCAACACCCTGTAACCCCTTGCTTATTAGTGGCTCTACTACATTGCTTGGAGTGATACCAATTAAAAAAAATAAAAAATCCTTGAAAATGGCAAATAGATTTAGTCGAAAGCAATTGGAATCAAACATTTAGACAATTTTCTACATTTCCAGAAAAGAAAAATATAACAAAAAAAAAAAAAAAAATTAAAAGTACTTTGTTAGTTTAACAAAACATGTATTAAAAAGTACTACTGCTCATGAAAATATATATATAATTATTATTTGTTTAAAAATTATAACATACACACACAATATGAATGTTTGTTATTTAATTTTTTTTTTATTTTAATTTTATAAACAGCAGGATAAAGGCAAACGAACAAGACCTGAGAAAGAAAGGAAAAAAAATACATCAGATGCTTATCATGTGAGTTACAATTATTTGATGACTTTTCAAATTTTTTTTTTCCGATTTCTTTAAATGATCAGACAACATAGGATGCCATATGCATGCAAAATGAGCTGCTCTTTCTTCGTTTATTTGGGGAAGGTGAGAAGAGCGTTGGCAAATGATTTATAAGAAAACATCCTAGTATGTTCATTGTGACCTGTTGACTACAAAAAAAAAAAAAAGATAAAACTAAAAGGTAGGGGGTTATTATACACATTATTACAAATAGATAGAAAAGTAAAGCATATTATGATCAATAAAAGATGGTATTGGCACCGACGCAGTGCTCATTAGATGCTGTCATTCTTTCTCAAAGAGAGACGCACAAGAAAGAATTTTCACCTGCAATAATTTATGTAATTATGTAAGACTTGCATTTCATAATTTAGATTTAAAAAAAGTCTTCTTGGGAAAGAAATAAGGATATTTTTACTGCAGGAACTAATGACAACGACTACCAAGAAATTATTATTTTTCCTCCGCTAGAGATTTTTTATTTTTTTTTTTAATATTGGCAATTTTTATGTCATACTGTACAACACTAGTGTACTGTACACACTGTATGCAGAAATGTCCTGCATAAAGTGGATTTTTAATTTTATGTATGAAAGTGTAGTACAGGTATGAATGAAGAATTACCATTTGCGATCAATACAGAACCTGGAAGATGGCCAGTTTTCTTTGCCAATATTGCAGAGACTGAAGAAACATATTCTCTGTAGTGGCCGTTAAACTATGCAAAAAGAAACCACTTGTTGAATGCATAACTAACTGACATTTTCAAAAGTCAGAAAAATTGAAAGCATACGCACCTGATTTCCTCTTTGATACAATTAATTATAATTTATGCTTGAAATTAAAATATTTTATATCTGAATATTTACTATTGGGTTTATTTAATTAATTTGTATAGTAGATTATTAAATTACATTAACATCAACTAGACTTTAAAACGATCATAATTAAAAATAAAATTAAAAGGTTTTTTAAAAACAAGAAAAAAGCTTTTTATTTTACATTTAATTAATGCAAACACCTGTTGACTAGTTTTTGTTCAATCAGTTTCATTTTGGATGTTGAAAATAAATATTTCAGGAAAGAATTTGGTCATCTAAATGTCTCAATTTTTATTTCGTGACATTTTAAATTATTTTTATGTTATTAATTAAAAACTGCTGTAATATAAAAAAAAATATTGCTATATTTAAAAAGGAAAAAAAAAAATATTTCAAATTCATGTTTGTGATGAAAATAATGATGATAATAATAAAAGACAAATTATGAATGAATGAAATTTAGAAAGCAAACAAATGAATGATTTTTTTTATGTTTTTAAAACTCAAGGAAAAAGAAAGTTGAAGAAATTTTTGGAAAAATAAAGAGTAAAGAAAGAAAAAGAAAATGAATGACTGCAAACAAATATGTTTAGAGATATTGTAGAAACCTTCTTTTTTTTTCTTCTCTCGTCTTCTTCCTGAGAAAGAAAAACAAATCAATGAATGAATCCAGAAACATGGATTCTTTGGTGGGATTTTTTTTTCATACCTGGATGATAAGACAATGGACCCCATCAGGACATTTTAGCTCTTTTCCCTTTGCTTTTTTTTTTTTTAAACCAACATACAAAAGGTAGAAATAGTCAAGTAACAAGAGGGTGGAGCAGCGAAAAACAGTATCAAATAAATTGCAGACAACTTACGAAATTAAGAAAGGGAGTGACATTCCTCTTCAGTTCGGTGGGTGGGAGCCAAAAATGCTAGCTCTGGATGACAAGATGAAAGGGTTAAAGAGAGAGAGGAAGGGAGGAAGATCTACAGCTGTTTCGTACACAGACTTACATACAACTCTTCACACACACACAGATTGTAGGTGTGTATATGGATGCCCGAGTATAGACATAGATATGATTAACAAATCATTATGATTGCTTCTCTTTAATTAATTAATTAACCAATCAATTAACCAACCAATTGAAAGAAAAGAGGTAATTAATAAAAATCCATCTTTATCAAAAAAGTAAGAACAGATTAGCTCTGCTTGACTACACCAACAATCCCGCCACCCCTCTCATTCTGCCTGTAATATTTTTAATTGTGTAAATAAAAAGAACTTTTTCTTTCAGTCATTCATTCATTCTTTCTTTTTAAGTTTATTAATTTTTGTGAACTGGAGTCAACAGCGGTCAAATCTCACGAGAGTCTCACTGACTCACGTGAGATTCTCGTAATCTTGCCCTAACACCTTCTTTGATGGCGTTCTCCCCCCCCCTTTTCTATTTAATTTTTTTTTTTTACATACACAAATAATCTTTTTTTTCTTTCTATCTCTCTCACATACAAACATAACCTTCTTTGTATAACTCACTCTTTTTTCTTTTCTTTTAATCTATCTCCTACATACACTCTTTACCCCTCTCTTATCTCATGTATACGCATGCTTTCCCTCTCTGTTTATATCAGGACGTCCCTCTAAGGATTGCTCACCTTCCCTGTTTCTGGCCTTGCCTCTCTTCCTCAATCCACAGACTCCGCCCACCTCAGAATTTTCTGTTCAGTTGTCATTTATTAAACAGCAGAGCGAGTACGACAGTGTCTTCTTTTAGAAGAAGCCTGACGAAGGACTGGTCGGTAAATTTCAACTGGAAACAGATATATTATTAAGACATCGGTGCAAACAATATTAAAGTTGTCCAAAGCACAGAGAGGAAGAGGAAGGTAGCAACTGAAGACACCCAACCGTGAAACCACGACTAAAAAAGTTATACTTCCTAAAATTTCAAAACAGACGGAAGGATCATAAAGAAAGAAAAAATAAGCTAAGCATTTATTGCAGTGTGGAGTAAAAAATTAACTAAGAAAAAAAATCACTAGCCTTTTCCCCCCATTGACTGTCTTATTGGAAAGAAGAAGAAAAAAAGAGGGTTTGTTTTTTTTGTTTTGTTTTTTTTTTTTTAAAAAAAAAAAAGACTATTTTCCACCTTTTTTTTCTTCTGATCTCGCCATCTTTTTAGTCAACAAAATAATTGGAGTTAGGAATTCAATTATCAAGTCAACACAAAAAAGTATCCAAAAAAAGCACGAGCCTTTCCCCCCCCAAATCCAGTAAAAAAGATGTCTGCTAACGGAGAAATGGATGTCCCCAAGACTGAATTGGAAGAAATTCAGCAACAATGCAACCAGACTACGGATGATTCACTGGAATCAACCAGGAGGATGCTGAACATGTGTGAAGAGAGCAAAGAAGCCGGTATCCGAACCCTGGTCATGTTGGATGAACAAGGGGAACAGTTGGACCGCATCGAAGAGGGCCTAGACCAGATCAACCAGGACATGAGGGATGCGGAAAAGAACCTGGAAGGGATGGAGAAATGCTGTGGCCTTTGTGTATTGCCCTGGAAGAGAGGCAAGTCTTTCGAGAAGAGTGGGGATTATGCCAACACTTGGAAGAAAGATGACGACGGCCCCACCAACACGAACGGACCCCGGGTCACAGTCGGGGATCAAAACGGAATGGGACCCAGTTCCGGATACGTGACCCGTATTACGAATGACGCCCGTGAGGACGAGATGGAAAACAACATGAAAGAAGTTAGCAGCATGATTGGGAACCTGAGGAATATGGCCATCGATATGGGTAACGAAATTGGTTCCCAAAACAGGCAGGTTGATCGGATCAACAAAAGGCCGAATCCAACGAGAGCCGTATCGACGAGGCTAACAAGAAGGCTACGAAATTACTTAAAAATTGAGGTAAAAAAAAAAAAAAAAAAGAGTTCAACAATAAGAAAATTAACGAAAACAAAAAAAAAATATCGAACAAACAAGAAAACAACAGCGACAAAGACAAACGAATTTCGGGGGAAGATAAAAGAAAAGCAAAGAAAAAGAAACAACAGGGAAAACACCAACCAAAAAAAAAAAAAAACAAAATCTAATTAAGAAGGAAAACATGAATAATAATTAAACAAAATTAATTTCAGAAGTTTTAAAACGGTAACAGATTAAATGAATGTTGTAAAAAGTAAAAGTAAGAAAAATATTCACCTCCACCCCCCCCCGCCTTTAAAAATTGTTGAAATGAACACTAAAACAACTACAAAAATCACATTACACACCAAAAAGCACGACCCTCATCTTTTTAGATTTACCTCCCCCACCCATTATATAACCTATCCACCGACTTTTTTTTTTTTTTTTTTTTTTTTAATTTTATCACGCCAATCATTTCAAATATTTTTGTGCTTGTGAGAAATGATTAATTTCTATTTTAATTTTGGATAAAGAAAGATTTTGGATAATTTATTTTCAGAATTTCTTCAAAAACCCTTAATCCCCTTCTTTTTTATATATATATATATATATATATATATATATATATATATATAGAAAAAGCTAAGTAAATGTCTATATACACAATATAACTCCTACACCAGTGTTTCCATTATTTAACAATATTTATGTTAATTGCTTAGAAAATTATAGCACAACCCTTGCAATAAAAAAAAATTACAAAAAACAATTCTAAAATCCATTTCTTTAAAAATATTTTTAATATAAAATAAAATTTTAAAAAATTAAAAAAAAAATTTTTTACTTTGTCCTTCATTAGTTTTTTTTTCTCTAATATAATATAAAAGAAACCCATTGATTTAAGAAAATTCGAAAGTCTTTATTTTTTAATAATTTTAAACAAAATATCACCTAGCTAAATCTATTCCTCACACCACTTCCCTTGCCTGCTTTCAATAGTTAATATTCATTAAAAATTTAATTTAGCAGAAAATAAAACCTTTCTAATATTGATGAAAAAATGGTTAAATTCATTAGTCCTATTTGTTAGGTAAAAGACATCCTGAACTAGAAATCTGAGGTAATATTTTTACTTTATTTGTAAATTAAATTCAAATCATAAATTAATCATCTTATTTTTTCTTTATGCTTCAGCTTATACATTTAAAAAAATATATTTTTGACATAAGGATTCATATATTAATTTTTTGTCTACCAATTTTTTTTATGAAAATTATTTTTTTCTTAATTCTAAAATAAGGTACCTAAAATTATTTTATTAAAAGAATTTTTGAGAATCTGATACACTAAAAGGAAATAAAACTTACATTTTCTCAAAATGGTAGTAACAGTTTTCCAACATTAAACTGTTCCTTAATATTTGCATCTATATTTAATCACAAAAATATTTATTTTTTTGATGTTACCAGACGAAAAAAAAAAAATCCATTTTAATCAAATATCTCTTCTCCCCTCCAATGAAATTGGCAAAAATAAAAATTCAAGATATTTTAATTTTTTCTTCTCTGAATACATATTCACTTATACTGTGAGGCCATTTTATTCAATAAAAAATAACAAAAATATCAGGCATGTAGATTAATATTATATATATATATATATATATATATATATATATATATATGTGTATGTAAAATACAATATTTTTTTTTTTTAACAGTTTATCTTAATTCATGTATTTCTTTTTTATTCTGTGATATTTTTTGTTATTTGAGTTAAACAGGGTTTAAAATTGTTTCTTTTTCTTTTTTTTTTAACTGGTGGGGAGAGGATAAAAATAAACACCTTTACAAAAACCTTTTCAATATAAATCTTATTTTCATGTTTGTGGTCATTTTTTTTTCTTAAATTGTTCATAAGGCAACTCAAAAACGAATTTAAAATGTTTCATAATGGGAGCATTGGGAGGATGCTAAACATTTAATATAAAAAAAAATGTGGGTTTATAGCTGAAAACATTCCTTTTCTTCCTTTGTTCAAATGTTGTCACTCACATTCAAAATAATAATGATGTCTGCAAAATAAAGGCTGTTCAAGTTAGTTAGAACATAACACAAAATGTAAAATAAAGGTTGCTTTAAAAAAAATTAAGAATTGCAAACAGAAAATAGAATTTTTTTTTCTTTTTAATATTCTATTTTAAAATGCAAACCTTAAATGAAATTTAGACTTTAAAATCTTTTTCATTCAAAAATGATGACAGTTGGGTGAGATGAAGTTGTTATCTTGGAAAAGATGAAAAGAAATATCTCCTCTTTCTCACTTATGTGAATGAAAAGAAGAAAAAAAAGAAGAATGAACAAAAAAAGTTTCATCCTCAAATTGGAAACAAAATTTCAGCAAAAACTTGCCATTTATTTTGCAACTTTGGAAAAAGAAAAAAATGTCCCATTTATTCCTCACCCCACCTTACATCAAACTGATTAAGAATCTTTGAAATATTTTCAAAAGTTTTGGATGAATTTACCATTTGGAGACAGGTGAGAAATCTTCATTTTTTTTTTTTTTTTTTTTTCCTCTGTTGTTTACATACCATAAACACTTGATGTAGCTAAGGTTAATTGATGCAAAATTATTTCAATTTGATGATAATAATAATGTTGACTATTATTATTGATATTTTATGTACTAATTATTTTAAAGAATGGACGTCAATGTAATTGAATCAGTTTATTTATAATGCACCACACAAACATACACATGTGTGTGTGCATGTGTGTGGGGGGGGAGATGTATATAAATTTTTATATATCAAGAACAAATTTAAGAAAAAAAATTGACAATTTTTTTCCCACTTTGTCATAGTTTTCCCCCCACCTATATATATACATACATACACACAAAAGTTCTTTCTGATCACAGGATATAAAAAAACTAAATGGAAAAGTCTTGGGGAAATAGACTGAGTGAAGAATTGTTTAGTACTTTTAGTTTTTGTGTGTGTATATTTGTTAATGTTGTCTGTGTTTAAGCTTTCTTTTTCTATTTATTTATTTATTTATTTTTTTTTTTTTTTTTACTGTATTTGTTCTGCTGAAAATGTAACTCCTATAAGTTGGCCCACTATGATTACATAAATTTGGTGGAGAGGGGGGGTATTCATCTCAAACCTGAATGCACCCACACCCACTCATTCATCCTAAAATTAGACATAGATTTCCTGAGAAAGGTTGTCTATTTCAAAGCACACAAATGATCTTTTCCTTTTATATTTAATTTAAAGAATTTACATGGTTCCTCTCACACTTGCAATTCTAAATATTCTTTCATACCAACAGGTGGAAAATTTTCAAGGTGTAATTTCAAAACTCCTGATTTCAATTGTTAATCATTCTGGTTTAAATTGAAATATTTTTAATGAGGCTTTCATTTATTTATTCAACTTTATTTTATTTATATTGAAGACAGTCTTTTAAAATACCTTCTTGTTTTTCCCCCAAGTCCTATAATATAAATGTTCAGGTTGCATATTATTACTGTGAACATAGTTAAATGGTTATAATGGTTCACCACATCTACTTGGTGATCAGATAATGGTAAGAAGGTATATTGTCTATGTATGTATGTGTGTGTGTATATATATATATATATATATATATATATATATATATATATGTATAAATTTGTAGACATTCTGATAAACAGGATAAGTTTTTTTTTTTGTTTTTTTTTCCATCTTATTGAGCCAATTTGTGTAGGAGGAGGTGTGAATAAATAACTAATTCCCAATTGCTGCTGCTTTTATGAGCGACCATATGCCAGCCAGCCCCTATCTCTGACACTTGGCCCAACCTCACTTTGACAGGCACAAACTATTGTGTGGGGGAGGTACTGACCCACCACATCCTCCTCCTACTAGTTAGAGATAATAGTAATAATTTATTTGCTCAGTTTGTAGAGGATATTTTCCACTAGCTCCAGGCCATATAGCTACAAACAATAGACATAAATTAGGTACATGTTATATCTCAATAGTTAGCCATGTTGACTGGTTGCTTTCAAGGCATCAGTAACCTTTTGAGTAATTTTATGATCCACTTTTACATAGAACATTGTGATAAAGAAAGACTAAAGCTTGCTTGAATATATTTTTAAATATTTTTTTTTATTAAGCTCAAAGTGTAGATTCTGTTCATATGAAAAGAAATTAAACCCTTCCTTCTCTCAATCCTATTCTTACGCATGTATTTTTTTAGGTCAATATTGAAAAAGGCTGTGACACTGATTTTTGTCTTCACTCTGAACAACTTTGATGAAAAACTATCATTTTCTGCTACACAGAAAAATTTATTTATTTCCCATCTAGTTTTAGAAGTTTTTATCCTTTATCCAAACCAGTAAATGCTGAATTATCAATTGACATTGTTAGCTAATCAATGAAAAAGATGATTAATTACTACTTGCTTGATATACTGTAATGTAAGAAAGGTTAGAGATCAAAGTGATGTAGTGAGATAGAATAAATTTTGATATATAGATTATTAGACAATGATGGTATCAAAAAAATTTGATAGGTTAGTGGGTGGTGTGTATAATTATTTACATATAAGAATGAGCAATTTTGGTGACCAGGGAATGTGGGGAGGAGTGTATGTTAGATTGATAGATATGAAGAGATCAGAGAAATCATTTTTAACAGGTGTGGGAATAACGGTTTAGCAAGCATAGACTGATAATGCTTTTTTGTGGATATCTATATATAAAATAAAGAAATGAATATTGTTTATTTAACAGTTAACTATGTTGATCTGTCCTTCCAAAATCCCTGCTGAAGATTATTGTCTTATTTGATGGATTATGTTATTTTATTAGTCTTTGTTAAAACAGCATTTTGATCAATTTCATAGCAAAAAAAGAAATGGCAAAAGATTACACAAAAAGCCAAGGACAAGATCTACAAATTGATTCATTCATTCATCAGTTAACACATTCTGCATCTTTTTTTTTTTTTTTCTCCTCCTCTTCCTGCTACTCACAAAATAGACAAGCTAGCAAGCACCTGACTGCTACTACTACTATTACTACTAGAGGTATTTTGTTGCGTTGACAAGTAATAACAAAGATAATTTATTCAAAGGTAGAATGAATGGTTATATAGAAGAAAATAAAATTTTCTACCCTTCAGTAGATATTTTTAACACTCCACTCCCACCTTACTTTTTCACTTCACTGCAATTCACCTATAAGTCAGCTGCCTTGATTAGTATTTTAATGAATTTCTTATTAAGTACTAAAAATGGTTTACTAAAAATCCAGAAGAAACCTTGTTCTTATAATTCAGTTTGTACACACATAATTAGACATAGGTGTTTACAAGTATAAATTAGATCACCATTTAGGAATAAAACTGTTTCTTATGAGCACATCATTACACACCAAAAATGATGTAAAAAAAAAAATATAAAACTGATTATGAAAAAAATTAGTCAATTTTGTGAAGCAGGTAGATTTTTTAAGACAAAGAATTTTTCATATTTTTAAGAATCCTGAAGAAAATGCTATTTTATATTACATTATTGAGTGTTATATTTCTGAATATCAAAAAGCAGACTAAATATCAAATTTTGTAAGGTTTTTATTTTTTCAAGTGACATAATCAAAGATTTATTTGTATTGGCGACTTTGATTTTTCCTAATTTTAAGATAACTAACATTAATTATTTATTGATGAAAATGTTTGAGAGAATAATTGAACTTATTTCTGATAACTCTTCAATTGAATCAGCCACTCAAATTGGAAACAATTGTGAGAGGTCAGGTTCATGGGCTGAAAGGCACATGGCATTTACAAAAATGTTTTTTTTAACTCATTTTAGTTGAAAATGTCAGCTATTGTTAATTTGTAAAGAATTACAGACTTCATCAATTATATTTGGTTTGTAAATTATATTTATATTTATATATATTTTATTATATTTATCTCCTTTGCATTTAAAACTGGAATTAAATATACAAATATCATCAGCCAATGCCTTTTACTTGTGGACCATGACAGTTGTCTCACTTGCTTAATCTCTCTCTCCCTTTCCCTCTCCCGTTGTCTCTCCCTTTCCCTCTCCCGTTGTCTCTCTCATTCTCTCCCGTTGTCTCTCTCGTTCTCTCCCGTTGTCTCTCTCGTTCTCTCCCGTTGTCTCTCTCGTTCTCTCCCGTTGTCTCTCTCGTTCTCTCCCGTTGTCTCTCTCGTTCTCTCTCTCTCTCTCTCGTTCTCTCTCTCTCTCTCTCTCTCTCTCTCGTTCTCTCTCTCTCTCTCTCTCTCTCGTTCTCTCTCTCTCTCGTTCTCTCTCTCTCTCTCTCGTTCTCTCTCGTTGTCTCTCTCTCGTTCTCTCTCTCGTTGTCTCTCTCGTTCTCTCTCTCTCTCTCTCTCGTTGTCTCTCTCTCGTTGTCTCTCTCTCTCTCTCGTTGTCTCTCTCTCTCTCTCTCACGTTGTCTCTCTCATTCTTTCTCTTATCAGTAAAATCTAGAAGACAAGGTATTTTTCTGTCTTATCTTTATAGTCCAGTTTAATAGTTCAAGGAAAATTGGAGCTTTGATATGAAAAGCTTAAAATATGAAAATTAACAAAAAAAAAAACAACTTGTACATTTCTAATAAACAATTCCAGTCAATCTCTGTGTAAAATTATTTCAAACCCTTTGTATTTCTCCCAGGTATACAAATTTCATTCATACAAAATATTACATTAAGTTTAATATTTTTAGATTATGTAATCAAAATTAATTGATCATTACTTATGAAACTTGAATAACTTTTTTTTTTAAATAGCATCCTATTAATTAAATGAATCTTATCCTGATCAACAGAAGGCTGGAAGGAACAACAGTCGAAACATAACAGCAAAGATGAAAACATCAGTCGTCATATAAATGATAGGAATCAAAATGAATTTGAATTGGGCTTCATTTTTTTTTTTTTTTTTTTTTTTTGTATCTTATGTCTTTTCTGCTTAAGACAAAATATTTTGAGTTTTTAATATTTTATTGCATAATTTATTTTCAATGAATAAACTTAATTTGGTGAGCTGCTATTTCATGGACAAATTTTTACTCTGTTCTACATGTCATTGTGCCATATTAAGTTAAGCTTAGTAAATATTACTAATAAAATGTATAGAAAAATAGGGATGACACTGCAAATTGGTATATCAGATGAAAGCTGATTTAATCAGCTCCCTTGTTGCATAAACTGACCTGCTAGTCGCAGAGAATTAAGTATCTTCATATGTGAGAGCAATATTTCAAAGATTTTTAACCTGTGATCTGTAGAGGATAAGTAATTAATGTGAAGTAGATATAAGTATGGTGCAGTTCTTTGAGAACTAATTACATTAAATAACTCATTGTTAGGAAAACCATTTTACATATTTGACAAAATAATAAAAGAAAGCTAATGAATATAATAGATCTACTGTATAAATTAGAATCTTTAGCTCCTGTTTTGGCTGTTGAGTTTATCTATAAATGGAATGAAATATATAAAAGTGTCTGCATTTTAGAGGCAGATTTTTCTGTTGCCCATCAATGGCTGTCCTTGAAAGAGATACTACAAGACCAATTAACAATAAAGGTTGTACCTTCCTCACCAGACTAAGCTTAAAGCTTGGAAAACATCTATATAAATTTTATAGTTTTTTTTCTTTTTTCAGATTCCTGAACCTAAAATGTCAAGAACCTGAAATATTATAATTAGTTTGAATGATAACTTGTTACTCCATTAAGATTTAGCTTGTTCTGATATATATATATATATATATATATATATATATATATATATATAAAAAGGGAGAGAAACCGCAAACGTTTTTGGTTGTAATGTGGATTTTTAAAAAAATATTAAGCTTTATTTTCCATAATTTTGCTACACAGGTTTCCATTCTCACGACTGTCATCAGTCAAAGGGTGGAGATTTTTACATATTATTAAAAATAATTAATTTTTTTTCTTTGTTTTTCGATGTTAAATATTCTCGATATGAGACATTCACTTTTTTTTTTGTTAGTGATCTTGAACTGGCACTGAAAAGTTCTGTGTGTAGGCTTATAAAACAATTAAGATTTGGTTCGAGAAATGATGTAGTAGTTATTGGCATGCTTATCTTTTAATGACCCCTGTGTGTTCTTAGATCTATTTCCATTTTCGCGAGCTTTTGTCAGCATGCGTGTATATATGTGTATATCCCCTCTCTATACATACACACTCTCACTACGAGGAATCAGTGAACACATCTGTACACACACACACACACACACACACACACACACCGTCCCATTACAAGGAATCAGTACATACACATACATGCATGCACATACTTCCCAAGTTACATGGAATCAGTATACACACGCACACACACACATGTATACACAAACTTCCTGAGTTGTGTGGGTTTTGTGTGCATGCATGTGAGTAGTTCTCCTGCTTTTGTCTATATATATATATATATAAAATATATATATATACACACACATACAAGTATAGGATTGGTGTAAATTCCAATAACCAACAATTACTATTCTTAAGAGTGCTCAATACAGAGTAAAGCAGATATAATTATTTATTTAAAAATTATAACATAAAGATAGCCATTTTGTTTCAACAACACCTCCAGTGTCTTATCACCTCTAATGATAAGACACTGGAGGTGTTGAAACAAAATGGCTATTTTTGTAGTGATTTTATAACATGTTTGTTATAATTTTTAAATAAATAATTATATTTGGTGAGCCAAAAGTAGGCTTACACTTGCTATTCACATTGTTTAAAAACATTTTATGACATTTATATTTAATCTCTTAAGTACTCAAAATGTCCTCCTGCAACATTCCTCCAACCACTACTGAACATGATGACACACAGCATGACACAAATCTCGATCTGCATCAATTTCAATAAGTACTTCTGTGATGTACTCTTTTAATTCGTCCATTGTGTGGGGATTTATCTCCTAAACCTTGTTCTTTACAACACCCCACAAAATAAATCCATTGGTGTTAGGTCAGGTGAACATAGTGTCCATTTGATTCTGCCCCTTCTTCCAAACCAATGCTGGGGAAAAGTTTGGCTAAGATAGTCCCTTACTGCCAAATCTATTCTTTGTGCAGTGAAACAAAATGGGCATTGTTTCTTGATCTCTTCCTATTGATTTTTCAAGAGCAAAACATTACCCCCCCTCAATACACATACACACACACACACACACACACACACACACACACACACACACACACACACACACCAGATTCCAAATGTATTTTTAACTAGGGTCTGTTTCCACCTTGGTTATGTTAATGCCCTTCATCTGCATAATGTCTTCACCTCTTTAAGTTTAGTTGCAGGTGTTGCAATTCCTATGATCATTTTTTTTTTTTTTTTTTTTGTCACCTTGAGTGGGTGGGTATCAACCCAATTGCTTCAAATTAGCACAATCCAATCATCTGAAAAAGGATGCATTTGTTCTGTATCAACTACTACATCAAATTTGACCTGCTGAGGCTTATGGCTGCATCACATTGAAACACCAGTTCCTATGTGATAACCAAAGTTAAGAATGGTCAGTATCTAGATGGGTAACCACTTGGGAATACCAGGTAATGTAAGCTTGTATATACAGGTGGTATCATGGATAAATGGCTCAAAATTGTTAATCAAGAGAGCTAAGTTCCAACTTCAGTTAGGTTCATTATATTCACTTACATGCTAATACCCTTAGAAAAGATATGAATCTGTCTCTTCTTACCCCAGCTATGGGTTAATTAGTAAGACTGGTATCATTAAATCGTTATCACCCAAAAAAAAAAAGACTTCTTTCAATGTAAAATATTTTCTGGCTTTAAATAACCTGCAAAAAGGTTGATAAGCCATAGAAAACCAATCAGTCAATTGTCTGCTGACTTAACTGAAGAGCTATCAGAAATAGATTCAATTATTTTCTCTTTTGAACATTTGATAATTGATCATTAATGTTTATCTTAAAATAAGGAAAAAATTAAGGAAAATTACAATCAAAATTACCAATACAAGCAAGCCTATTTATTTACACTTTTAAAAAATAGAATTTTAAAATACCTAATAATTTGATATTTTCAAAAGCATTTATTTTCTTTTCTCTGAAAACAAACACACACATATATATATATATATATATATATATATATATATATATATATAAGCAAGATTTATATGGCATTTTAAAAATAAGAATAACCGGTTTTGTCCCAGCCTTAACAAGTTTATTTTCTGGGATATAAAAAATATATAAGCATGTAAATTAAATTAATATAAAGAATGGAAGGGGTAGGGAATGAATTTCAAGAAAACTAGAGTCCAATAACATTCAGACTCGGTAGGCATTCCCTCTGTTTACAAAGGGAAGGCCCATGGGATCTGTATACAAGGACTCTAGAACCTTGAGGTGATATGAGGAGTGAGACCTTGATAAAATCGAAAAACGGTCCGCACTAAAATCAAACACAATTCCTGCTATTATTCCTGCAATAGCAGAGCCAGAAATATTGATTAGTTGGCTTTTCCAGACATCCGGATTCAAAATCCTTGGGGGTAAGTGTTGTTTTATTCTCAAATCCAAATGTTGAGACGTCCTCCCTATGTAGTCAAGTTCACAACTACACTTATATTTATAAATCACTGAATTAACATGATGGGGGGGCAGGACTTCCTTACGAATGGAATGGAATAGAAAACAGGACGGGTAACAAATATTACACAAACATTAGCCGTAAAATAACGGCTATTATTCATACATGAAATTCATCTAGATAAAGTCCCACCCTCTGTACCAATATAGGGAAGACACAAATAAACTAGACATTTTTCAACAAATATAAATATATATGATGATGGACTCTCCTGTTGTTTTCAACGTATGAGTCTTTCAGTTCAGTTTTTATGTTTGTTTCATATGAGACAACAATCCTACACAGGATTTGCAAACAAGTCCACATGAGGGACATGCTGAAGGTCTGATCATCATATGGACTGATGTATTGGCCCAAGATTTAATGTTATATCAATTTGGGAAGATTAAATATTAAAAGGGAAAGAACACTGAATGTACACGTGTAAATTATATACCCTATTTCCTGCTGTATAAGACACACATTTTTTAAAGAAACCCTTCAAAAATCATTTGTCGTACTTTGATAGGCTGGTTTTGGGTAGGCTTTAGGATAGAGGTTACCAATATCAGATGACCATTTAAACACTTTTGTCTGTCCCCTGATGACCCTAGAATTAAACAATATAAACTGCTGAACAAGGTCCTTTAAAATACTTCCATTATGGCAGTGACTCTTATTCTCTGTCATGCGTCATCTTTCCTATTGTAGTTTTTATCTATTGGGCTTTAATCATGCAACCTTTTGCTCCATCTATTATCCTTTCTTCTTATATATTTTGCCCACCTCCATTTTTGTTTCTTAATTATTTTTATGTTTGTCTATTCTCAGATCCCTATTGACCACTTTTTTTTATCTCAAGCTTTTCCCTTTCCATTGATTTTGGAGCCTAAGTTTATTTTAAACAGTTTTCTTAATTATTCTTTTTCATACCAGACTTTCTATTTAAGTAGATTAGCAAAGAGCTTTTAATAAAATATCTATTTCTACTAAATGGTTTCAAATTAATCATTTTCTTTCATTTTCATGTTGTTTAATGTTGTACCTTGTGCTGTATTCTTGGATAACTTCCAGTTCTTCATCTTTTTTGATTTTCTAAAGTTTTTATTTCTGTCCATTTTTAAGCTTACTTTGATTTTTGTGGGGGTTTGTTTTACGGCATATCAACCTCAATGTGGGTTTTATGGCATATCAACCTCAATGCCTACAAGATTCTTAATGCTGGTAATATTTTATCAAAAAGTATTTCTGGTAATATTTTTTACACATTTTGACCCCAGTTTGGGGTTAACTATTTGCCCGTAGCTGGGACCCTAACAGGTGCTACCACTCCAGGTCAGGGTGGACCTGAGAACACCAGCAATTAAGAGGTGGTTCCACACTCCTCAAAACCTCCTGATCAGAGGCTTTGCTGTTGGATGTAGTTTATCATCATACCCAGGACAAGATTACTTTGAGACTTTCCCCAAACCAGAGAATGGGCAGATGAATGACTAGTGCCTCATAACCAGCTGCTTCAGATTGATGGAGCTCAACAGCACAAGAAAGCAATCCATTCCTCCCTTCCTCTGACTTTTCCTCTAACATCTACCCCCTTCCTTCCAGCATTCCCCTTCTCCCAATATTTCCCTTTTCCGCCAACATCTACCCCCTTCCTTCCAGCATTCCCTTCCCCAAATACCCCTTCCTTCCAGCATTTTCCCCCAATATTTTTTCCGCCAACATCTTCCCCCACCCCCTTCCTTCCAGCATTCCCCTTCCCCCAACATTTCCCTTTTCCTCCAACATCTACCCCTTCCTTCCAGCATTCCCCTTCCCCCAACATTTCCCTTTTCCTTCAACATCTACCCCTTCCTTCTAGCATTTCTCCTCTCCTAACATTTCCCCTTTTCTCCAGCCCTCCGATATCTACTCCTTCCCCAAACATTCCCTCATCCTCCAATATCTCCCCCACAACATTTAACCCCTACTTCCAACATCTACCCCCATATTTTTCCCATTACTCCAACATTTACCACTCTAAATTGAATGAATCCTTAATTTTCAGTTTCAATTTGAATTTTCTTGTCTAATATTATGTGATTCTGCAATTAGGAAGTGTAACTGATTTCAGCTCACAATTAACAAAGGAGATCAACTAAGATTTTACTAGCCCATAAACTGCACACTGTGGATCCCAAATATTTTCAAAATCACTGCATTCTTAATGTATAAGAATACTTTCATAGCACCCTAAGCCAGAAATTACTGAACAATTGCAGGAAATCATCATATAATCTAATCCATAATCTGGTATGAGAATGGACAAAGTGATCTTCAATGTGATGAATGTTACTTCCTTCTCTCACCAGCACGTTAATCTATGATTGCCTGAAATTACTAAAACTTTTGAACGTGAGCTAAATACCCATCCTACAGAGAAAACTTAGTTTGTCATCAAAGTTCTCTTATCTCTCTAAAATTTCTGTATAATAACCAATATTTTCAGCAAAACATCTCTTTTCTAAAGTTCCTTTCATCATTATGTGTTTCTGACATTTGATGAATATTTTTTCATCATTTAATCAGTGTTGTCATTGTTTGATTAGTGATTTTTATTGTTTCAATAGCTATATTCCAGCAGCTAGGTTCTTTCATATTGTAATTAAATATTAAAAAAAATTCTTGCTGATCCAAATGAAAAAGATTTGTCTGAATTTCTTGAGGACTTCTCATTATTTACACTATTTATATTCAGACTATTGTCCACATCTTTATCACATTTTGGCAGTTGTCTGCTGACCTTCCTTGTGATAATTTTCTGTAGTGAACTTGGAGCCTTAAACCTAACCTGCCAGCTGATAAGATTTGCAACTGCTGCTACTGCCACCTGTAATGTTTTGACTGTTGCTGCCGCTCATGTTTTGAATGCTGTTGCAGTTGAAGACTTGCTGTCATTGCTCTTTCTTTCTTTTTTTAGTGGCCCCCATATTGCATTTATTTCTATGCTAGGCCTACTAAGGAGGTCCTCATAGCCTAGAATGTATGCTGATTCTTTCATAATGCCTAACTCTCCAGTGTTCTTTTTTTGTCTAGTATTTTCCCTTCATTTCACAGGGGATGATGACTACCCTTTTCCCTTTATGTATGGTCATCCATGTCCAATTTCATTTTCTCACACCTCACTACCTACAACTATGGGTAACTAGCAGGACAGACCAGGTTCTGTAGCCTTGGATGGCAATTGGTCTGCTGCAGAAAGAAATGGCAACCTACTACAGGTGGGGGGGTATCTGCCTCGTCAGTCATGTATCAAAAGATACATGATCGCCTAAGCATGTATCATGCATGGCAAATAACTGACTGACCCCTCACTACAGCACTCAGTGCTAAATAAGAACTAGACGATATTCTCAGACATGAGCAGTGGAACAAGAAAAGTTTACCTCACTTGATTAAATAAATGGTTCAGTTCCTCAGATGTATATGATCTGGGTAACCCTGTAGATTACCCAGATCTGAGGACAGCTGGAGGGCACAACAGCAAAGATGAGGGTGATAATCTGAATATAAATAGTGTAAATAAAAAAGGTTTGTTTTTGTAACACTTTTGAGTGGCTGGAAATTTTAATGCTTACAAAGAGTTCAAAAGCATTTGAAAAAGATTGAAAACTCAAGTACCTTTTGAATTTGAAATAGATGTGTCAGGGTGATTATCATTTTGGGGAGGAAAATTCACACACAGCATCCTTCTTCTAATCACCCCCTTTTTTTTTTTTTTTTCTTTTTTTTTAATGTTCAGAAAATTTCTTTCGCCCTTAATTTAAGCTTTGAGAATTCCAGGACAAAATATTTCATTACTGAAAATTATTTTAAAAAATCCAGCAACCTCTCTTATTCCAACATCACCGATTTGAAACTCATATAGTTCAACCATAATGATCAAAATAGCAAAAGTGAAGATATTAGTCTGAATATTTTCTTAAATAATGACAGTATTTAACCATGGAATTTCTGACAGTCCAGACTGCTGATTGCATTTTAGTTAACTATAAAAAATGTTTGTTACCAAATGTCAAGAGTGAAAGAACCAAAAAAAATTTTAGCTGATTAAAAAAAAAAAACAAAGTAGAAATTTGTGATGTCTTTTGACTTTCCAAAATGTATACACTTTTTGATGATGAATAACTTGTCTTTCGGCTTCTTTTGTGTTTTCAGATTTTTAGTACAGGTCGAGTATTCTTTATCTGAAAATCCAAAAGTTTTTCAAGTGCTGACATGATTACCACAAATGAAAAATTTCAGAAAGTTCCGGGAAGGTTCTTAGGTGATGTGCTGCTGATGTAAGTGACCCTCATCTGCCCTGGGTGGGGTTCCCAGCCCAGCTACATAGCCTACATTGACATCAGTTTTTTGGTGTTTTTTTTTTGTTAGCAATCATCACAGCAACACCTTCATTAGTGGATTACTTACCAGGTGTTTTATGCTCAGTAAAGATATCATGCAAGATGTCAAAAAGTCGTGCATTTATATATTTTTTGTAAGCAGCAATTTTTTTTTTTTTTTGTACACTTACAGAAAGTACAAAACATTATTTTATGTGAAATTTTAATTTCTCCACTTAAAAATCTGTGTGAGCATTACATAACTAGCATCATTATCTGTATGCATACAAAATTTATTAAATTTTATATAAAACTACTTTCAGGATATGTTATTTATATAAAACTTCAGAGATATATATAAAATATAAAAAGCTGTTATGAAATGTAAAGGGATATTGTTTGTTTGGATTCTATTCCCAAACTGTCCCATTTTATTTGCTATATACAAATTAAATAGCCTGTATTCCAAAATCAAAAAAAATCTGAAAACCAAAGCATTTCTGGTCCAAAGAATTTCGATTAAAGAATTTTCAGCCATTATTATTTCTGTTGCAATGATTTTATTCTTGATTGTTTCCAAGACCATTTTTCAGCAAACAAAATGTATTATGGAGTTGATCAAATTAGGATACATTTTGCAGGTAGGACTCAACTAAAAGGTCAGTGCATTTATCTAGAGTAGCATTTCTCAACCAGGGTTCCCCGAAAACAGGTGAGATAAGTTAATGCACTATTGACTTTTTTTATTTAACCTCATATACATAATATTACTAAACACACACAATATATTCTTGGTTATTGTAATATTGTAATATAGGCATCATCCTATCTAAGCCTTTTCTTATTTAACAAGTATGAAGTGCAAAGACAAACCTTGTCTTCTCTCAATTGAGAATGAAATCCGTGTGCTTATCTAAAGTTTGACCTTGAATTAAGTATTTGTGCAGCAAAAGACGGGTACAAACTTCACAAAGAAGCATATTTCACTTTGTCAAATGGCTTTGAAAGTAGCATTTTCTTAGCCCATTTATTGGTTCACAGGACATTTTGCCTTGATTTACCTGATGTCTTTTCAACATTGCCAGTAAACGATAAAAAAAATTAAAAAAACTGATGCAGAAATTATCTGTTTTTGTTCTGTATACATTTATATTATAGGTATTTTATGATATTCGTTACCTATGTTTATTTTTTATGTTTGAGTTTAGAATTTTTTTGTGTGAATGAAAATTCTCTAATGAAGTATTATAAATGAACAGTATGAATTTTATTTCAAATTACCAAAAAATTTGACAAAGAAGTATTACTTTTTCCTTAAACCAGTTATTCAAAAATATATACTATATTTATCATGTGAACTATGATGAAAATAAAATGGGAAATATAAATGTTCAAGACATGAAATTTATTTTAAAGGTTATGCAAGGGTAAAAAGGTTGAGAAATGCTGATCTAGTGTGTCATATAAGCAAAACACATTAAGAATTACAATGAAAATTTGTGTTTCAACTGAATAAGACAGTTTTTTCTTCATTCAATCTCTTATAAAAAATCTGTTATATGAATTGATCCGAAATATTTAACCTGGAAACTTATAACTGTTTATCAAATTATGATTATTTCCTAACCTTCAACATGTTTAATTAAATCTGCTAAGAGAATCATCGAAGCAAATTAGATTTAGTCATTTTACTCAGAGAATTTATTCCCTTCATTATATTAATTATTAATACGATCACTGAAGGTAAGCAACATCAAGCCTGGTCAATACCTAGGTGGGTGACTAGTTAGGAATATCAGGTACTGTAAGCTTGGATGTGCAAGTGATATAATGGACTTATGCCTACATCATGCTGAAACACTGGTCCCTATATGATCAATAAAGTTAAGCAATGTTGAACCTGGTCAGTACCTAGATGGGTGACTGATTAGGAATATTAGGCACTGTAAGCTTGTGATAGTGATGTAATGGATAATGACTCAGAATTGCAAATTGGAAAGCTGTGTTCCAATTCCGTTCGTTATATCCACTTAGTCAAAAATACTCTTGAGAAAGTTATGACTCCACCTCTTCTCCCTCCAGCTATGGGTTAAATATTAAGACTTGTATTACTAAATCATTATTATCACAAAAAATCTCAATCTAAAAACATTTTCTGGCTTTAAATAACCTGCAAATGGTTGATAAGCTGTAAAAACAAATCAATCAATATATATATATATATATATATATATATATATATATATATAGAGAGAGAGAGAGAGAGAGCTTTACTGACAGAAAAATCCATCCCTTAAAAAGTAAAATACCAAGCAATGTCTTTTCTTTTTTTTTTTATAAAATTTTACATGTCACCTCTTGGATTATTTTATGGTTAATGTGTTTGTTTTTTAAACTTTAACATTTTGAAATTTAGATTCAAAGATTGTCTTAATTTGCAATACTCAACATAATTCTTTCCTTTCTTATATCATTTCATTGAGAGAAAAAAAAATAA